TTCATCCAACATCTCAAAACCCCCATATCCAGACTACTACACTACTGCTATTTTTCTGCATCCTGGTAGGTCTGTCTCTACCCTGAACAACATGAATGGCTGCAAAACTCACTGGAAGCACTAAGGGTGAGATTTCCAAAAGCACCTAGGAACATGGCTCTCAGTAGCCATTACAAATAAATAGGAATTAAGTGCATGACTCCACAAAGGCTTCTTGGATAGTCTCATCTTTAGAAACTGTCATTTAGGGAGCCATGGAAGAGCAAGACCAAGTAGATTAAACCAAGGTCAAACAGCAATCACCCTGGCAAGGTCTGCATGGCAGACAACAGCATACTGGCATCTGAAGTGATGACTTCAGTGGATTCCTGTTCCCTGTGACAGGAGCTTGAGTTACAGAACTGGCAGTCTGTCCTTGCAATGGCCTAATATTCCTGTAAAGAAGAAAAAAGGTGCTAAATAAAACAGCAAAAATCCGGGCAAAGAAAAGCCAGCGGTGGACAGTGAAAAAAGTGGACTTTGCAGTATCTACTATCATAAATTATAGGACTAGTGGTCTGATCTTCTACAGAGGACAATAATAAAAAAAGGTTTTAATTGCACAGCTTCATTTCAGCAAACAAACTGCATTAGTGCAAGCAGGGAATGTTTCCTGTCTAAACATTTCTGTCTCGTGAGCAAATAAGCTACAAAGGCATTTCTGATTATTTCTACCGATAGTCCCCATTTGTACATTACGGACAAGATTACTGACTGGAGCAAACAGAAGTTGTTTTTATATCTCATTTGGGTAACTACAAGAAAGACTAACAGCAGTGTAGCATGACTGGCGACTTGCCCAGTCAGACCTTTCCTGGTAGATGACTCATTTCTTTTTTCACCTTTCAGTACACCCTTTTTATGAATGTGTCAAATATGCAAAGAAGCCAACTGCAGTTTTGAAGAAGAACAAGAAGTTATCAGAAAGGAGAGACGGGGACAGTAAAAAGTAGCTTATTAAAATTGGGCATCAATCCCTTTTTGTGCTTGCTGATTCTTCTGCGTATTTTCTATTTTACTGTTGAGACATCTTACCATTGGGACACCTAGCCCATTGCAGGACGCTAAGAAGAAAAGTGTCTTTGTTTGTTTTCCTCAAAGGACTATAAAAGCACATTTCAAATTATTGAAATTTCTCATGAAACAGCATTTTGAGTTTGGACCAGCTCTTCCCGAAACGTCCCACAACTATCAGAAGAGCTAGAGCTGATCATATTAACCCTGGAAAAATCATTTCCTACGGTTCTTGTGCATACAAGCAAACTTCCAGACCTTTTTCTACCACCAGGTTCATGCCTTAGCAGTAGAGACACAGTCACCTTCTGGAATGGACTTAACTACCATAAGAGTTGGACAAAAATCTCTCTTCTTGGAGGGCTAATCGTAGACTTTTGGCACAGAGCTCAGGTTTCCAAGCTGCTTTTCTGTGGGCTTGAGCTGCTCCTTAACACCATACTGGAAGAACATCACTGGCCCTGGAGGAGATCTTTACCATAAATCCCTTTTGAGATCCCTTAAACCAGGTTAATTTTAGTGTGCATTTCGCTGCAGAGCCTGATACTTTATCACATCATTTACCTTCGCTGCTCCTGTCTGCACGTTTGACAATACATTTCCACACCTCCTCACCATGAAGGTCACATACTCCATCAGGTTGATTATTTCATCAGGGTAGTTGCTTGCCATTATTACTGATGTCTCAACCTTTTTACTGACTGCTTTTCAATAACTCCAATTTCATTGTTTCCCCCCGGGCTAACAATGGATGTTATTCTCTCTTTCCGTTCTCATACACTACTGCAGGTTAAATATTTCCCCCAGCTCAGCCAGGCCATACATCATTGCACCTAAAGTTATCAACTGTATTAGATCCTGCACTTGATCCTCTGAATGCTACTTTAACATATGCTCTCCCGTATATTAGTCTTTGTCACTTTTAATCAATCAGAATTACAAAAATGATAACTTAGCTTTCAACCATTGCTACGGGTAAAATTTGCTCCTGAGCAGAATGCAGACACTTATCAGCCCTGAGCAGGACTTGAAGTCATGTACAGCCATCCAAAAAAGATGCATTTCACCTCAAAAAGTTAAAAAATGCTATTTTCCAGCTAAAAAAATAATGGTGGCAAGGGAGGATTTTCCAAAGAAATCTAGCTTAGGGAATGTAAGGACAGAGCATGCAACAGAGTGAAGCTGCACCTCTCAGAGAGATAAACAGGCAGCTCCTATTGAACAATATTGGCACCATATGATTCAAGCCACAGTGCTAATCAGAGTTTGCCTTTGCACCTGTTCTCTCTTGCTAATAGACAGACCCAAGCCCTACTCAACACCAACCTCTCCCCACTTGCCAAATTCAACAACATCTTTCCTTCCAATAAAGTCACGCCACAGCTTTCAGCCCCTTGTCTCATCAGATTTGCCTGCAATTTAACAAGCTAGTTTCCAACATAAAAAATAAGCTATAATTAATGTGCATTTGGAGCAGCTCCAGAGCCTTTCAGCTTGTAGCTAATAAGGCTGATGTTGAAAAAAATAAATCCTTGTCTTCACCATCAGTCGGTGGCACTTTAAGCTGGAAGGCATGGCTGTCTGATGAGTACAGTGCTTAGCTAACCAGTGACCTTTCTTTTAATCACTGTTGCCAGCCTGACACCAAGACAGCACTTCTAAACCTAGGAGCAAATGCTTGCCTGTCAAGTACTGTGAGGGACCATAGAACTGCTATGGCCATGCAACACAGTGGATCAAACAATATCACATGCACACACGCCCTAGGGCAGCAATTAGGTGGTATAAGTAGCTTAGAGGTGTCCTCCTAAGTAGAAAACGGACAGAGAGGGATGTCGTGACACAAGCCATTTCATAACCTACTCTACCTAACTGCTGGGCGTAGGCACACATGGGATGGGAGCAAGCGGGATTTGTTTCCCAAAAGCAGGGAGTGATCCTGCAGCCCCAGGCCAGAGCTCGGAGCTCTTCAGTCTCAGGTGCTGAACTCATGCTTCAGCTGGTAGTCCCCAGAGTTAGTCGAGAAGGCAGCTGCCTTGCAAACATGATGCAGAAATTTTACTGCACATGTGCAAAGAATAATTTCCCGTGATTGATTATTCAACCAAATCAAAATAGATTTTCACGTGGGCGATGAGTTCACTCCCCAACTTTAAGGCTTTCTCCCTCTTAGAATTTATCTTGCATCTTCACATCACAGCTGTGCTAGTCCTCTGCAAAACAAAGGTTGGAAGTATTGTCTACCATTGGCAAGCTGCCTATATTATTCTCCATCTCAGAGAGTCTTTTTTTTTCCTTGGGAAAGTTTCAACAAAAAAATCAATGTAGCCTACGGCACAACTAAAACAGCAAATCTCAGCCCCACAAGTTTTCAAATTATAAATATCTGAAAGCAGAAGGCTAGAGAAGCATTTCTACTAGTTCTAAATGCTGTCCATTTCTCTGTCATTAGGTGTCAAATGAGTGATTAGAGTTGTGTAAGAAATGGAGTTGAGATCTAGGAAGCTTTTGGTAGGAAAAATTGAAACAACAGAATTTTGTAACTGAAAATTTGAAAAAACTATTGGATTCGGCCATTCAGAATGTCCTGTCGCAACATCTGATGAAGTGAACTTGGGTTCATGAAAGCTTGTACTTTATGTATATGCATTTTATTTAGTCTGTAAAGGTGCATATCTACTAGGGTTGTGCAAAGCTTAAGGTGCTGATTCGATTCGGAGGAGATTTGGCCGGATTCGGTGGCCGAATCTCCGAATCTGAATCGAATCAGGGGACCAACTAAAAGGTCCAAATTGAACTGAAGCTCTCCGAATCTATTCGGAAAAAGATTTGGAAAGCTTTGGTGATTCAGGCAGTCCCCACCCACTGCAGCAGGGACCTGGACTTGAAGCTGGTAGGTAGGGGCAATGAAGGTGGGGCTGGAGGAGCAGGGAGGGGACCATGGCGGGACCCCTGCCAGGCCCCATCCCCAACCTGCTCCCCCAGCCCCTCCCATGGCTGCCCCACCCACCCCGCAAGTGGGGGATGGGCCTGTGTGATTCGGAGATTCAGCTGATTCAGCAGCAGCTGAATCTCTGAATCATGTTTGGCTGAATCAATTTGGGACAGTGATTTGTATCACTGAATTGAATCACTGTCCTCTGAATCAGCCGAATCCGAAGCGAATACTAGCTGCTTTGCACAGGCCTAATATCTACCCTCCCTTCACAAATCTACCTCCATTGAAAACATTTAATTTAAAAAGAGTTATTATGAATTGACTTTCAAAATGAATAGTAGTTTTGAATTGAAAGTTAATTTTGAATTTAAAGAAGGTCAACCATTAATTATTTTAATAATTTTAAACATGTTTTTACTTTTTTTTTTGCTCCTCTTGACCTGCTGCTCACAAACAGGGAAGAATTGGTGGGGAATGTAATAGTGGATGGCAACTTGGGTAGCAGTGACCATGAGATGATTGAGTTCTGGATCCTGAGAAAGGGAAGGAGGGAGAGCAGCAGAGTCAGGACACTGGACTTCAGAAAAATCAGACTTCAGCTCACTCAGGAACATGGGCAGAATCCCCTGGGAAGCTAGTCTGAGGGGGAGAGGAGTCCAGGAGAGCTGAGTGTACTTTAAAGAAGTCTTACTGAGAGTGCAGGAACAAACCATCCTGATGTGCAGGAAGACTAGCAAGTATGGCAAGAGACCTCCTTGGCTTAGCAGGGAACTCTTCAGTTAACTAAGTCACAAAAAGGAAGTTTATAAGAAGTGGAAACTTGGACAAATAAATAGGGAGGAGTATAACAGCACTGCTCGGGCTTGCAGGGATGAAGTTAGGAAAGCCAAGGCACAACTGGAGTTGCAGCTAGCAAGGGATGGGATGGGTAACAAGAAGGGTTTCTACAAGTATGCTGATAGCAAGAGGAGGATCAGGGAAAGTGTGGGCTTACTGAATGGGGAGGCAACCTTGTGACAGAGGGTGCAGAAAAGGCTGAAGTGCCTTTTTTGCCTCAGTCTTCACAGGCAAGGTCAGTTCCCAGACTACTGCCCCAGGCAGCACATTTTGGGGAGGAGGTGAGCAGCCAACAGTGGCAAAAGAATGGGTTAGGAATGCACCCGAGGGTGCTGAGGGAGTTGGCTGATGAGATTGCAGAGCCATTGGCCATCATCTTTGCAAACTCATGGTGATCAGAAGTCCTGTATGATTGGAAAAGGGAAATATAGTGCCCATATTTAAGAAAGGGAAGAAGGAAGGTCCAGGAAACTACAGCCAAGTCAGCCTCACCTCAGTTCCTGAAAAAATCATGGAGCAGATCCTCCATCCTCTATTTCTAAGCATGTGGAGGAGAAGATGATCAGCAGGGATCCTGGTTTTCTCCGATTTAAAAAAATCCCCAATTTTTGGTTTAAGAAAAACCACCCCTAAATCCACATTTGTCCATTATTAAAATGAAACACCACTATATATGTATGTATATATTAGTAGCGTTTCAATTAAATCACAGAAAAATGTGGATTTGGGGTTACTTTTTTTAAACCGAAAATTGGGTATTTTTTTTAAATCAGAGAAAACCAGGATCCCTGGTGATTAGGAACAGTCAGCATGGATTCACCAAGGGCAAGTCACACCTGACCAACCTGACTGCCTTCTATGATGAGGTGGCTGACTCTGTGGATATGGGGAGATCAGTGGATGTCATATATCTTGAATTAGCAAAGATTTTGATACGGTCGCCCACAACACTCTTGCAGGCAAGCTAAGGAAGTACAAGCTGGATGAATGGACTATAAGGTGGATAGAAAACTGGCTGAAGCAATGGGCTTAGAGGGTAGTAGTCAATGGCTCAATGTCTACTTGGCAGTCAGTATCAAGTGGAATGCCGCAGGGTCAGTCCTGGGGCCATTTCTGTTCAATTTGTTCATCAATGACCTGAAAGATGGCATAGAGTGCACCCTCAGCAAGTTTTCAGATGACACCAAGCTGGGAGGAGTAGTAGATATGCTCATGGGTAGGGCTAGGATTCAGAGTGACCTAGACAAATTGGACAGTTGGGTCAAATGACATCTCATGACGTTCAACAAGGACAAGTGCAGAGTCCTGCACTTAGGACGGTACAATCCCATGCAGTGGTACAGGCTGGGGGCTGACTGGGTGGGCAGCATTTCTGCAGAAAAGGACCTGGGGGTTACAGTGGACAATAAGCTGAATATAAGCCAACAGTGTGCCCTTGTTGTCAAGAAGGCTAATGGCAGCCTGGGTTACATTAGTAGGGGTCTTGCCAGCAGGTCAAGGGAAGTGATCATTCCTCTCTATTCAGCACTGGTGAGGCCACATCTGGAGTACTGGGTCCAGTTTTGGGGCCTCCACTACAGAAAGGATGTGGACAAATTGAAGTCCAGTGGAGGCTGAAAAAAATGATGAAGGAGCTGGGGGACATGACTTCTGAGGAGAGGCTGAGGGAACTGGGCTTATGTAGTCTAGAGAAGAGGAGACTGAAGGGGGATTAATAGCAGTCTTCAACTACCTGAAGTGGGGTTTGAAAAAGGATGGAGCTGGGCTGTTCTCAGTGGCGGCAGATGACAGAACAAGGACCAACAGTTTCAAGTTGCAGCAAAGGAAGTTTAGGTTAGATATTAGGAAAAAAATTCTCACTAGGAGGGTAGTAAAACACTGGACTAGGTTACCTAGAGAGGTTGTGGAGACCCAGCTAGACAAAGCCTTGGCTGGGATGATCTAGTTGGGGGCGGTCCTCCTTTGAGCAGGGGGTTGGACTAGATGTGACCTCCTGAGGTCCCTTCCAACCCTCATTTTCTATGATTCTATCATTCTAATTTTCAATATTGGAAGAAATTGCAATGTGACGTTTGCTCATAAAAACTTTGGTTTTGACAACTTGCCATTTCCCACCAGAAACATTCTGCATAATACATTATTAATTCCCCTGATCCTTCAAGTGTTAATAAGCCCAATAGAGAAGTCATGAAACTCATCTGCAGTTTGAAACAATTAAACAGCCTTCAGTGAAAATGGATCCACTTATCTTTTACTGCACTTCATTCATTTTTCCCTTAGTGAACAGCAGACCATTTGGAAATGAACACAGCTTGTTAGGGGAAAAAGACAAAATTCCTATGAAATTATCAAACATGTTGCTCATTAGCATGCCATTATTATTCTTGGGGAAGAAAAACTCTAGTTTAATTGACTTCCCTGCAAAATTAATGGTTAGACAGATGGCATTAAGAAACATCTGACTTTTATTGTTATATTAAATGGGGCACTGATGTCTAAAAAAACCCACACTACGAAGAGGTCTGAAGATCCCCAACTTAAACTAGGCCAAAGTATTGTTTGCATCTGTTGTTGGGTGGCACCTTATTTCAGCTCAGAGGTTCTGGGTGCTCTACTGGGCACTGGGAGAGGGCCAGGTGATTAAACTGCATCTTGCTCATAGGGGCAAAAGACTCTTTTGAAGCAGGGCAGCCACTGTTGCTGGTCACTAGGCAGTTATTGGAGGGGATGGTCATTATTAGTCCTCAATGACCTCAGTGGGTTCAACCTTGCCATCAGAGGAAATGAGGCAATAAGGTAGCAGGCCCTGCTAAGACATCTGCACTCAATGCTGCAGAGTGGCCAAGACGTTGAAGTGCTAGGTACACAGATGGACAGACACGACCTTCAAAAAATAAGGAGGGTGAGTTCTGGGGGAGCAGACATGCAGAGACACAGCTGCGCCAACAATATCAGGCTTATGACCAATTTTTCAAACTGGTTGTATTGTGATTTGGGGTGGGGGGTGGGGGAGGGAGAGGAGGTGGGAGGAGGCTGAAAGCAGGATCTGGTAAAAAAAAATGGATGTTTAAAAACTCACCACCTACATGCTTTGCTTTGTCAATGAAGCGTTGCAGCAACAACTGGGTTTTTATCCTTGACTTGTGACTTTATTTAATAATGAAACACTGTACAGTAATAATACTTAGGAATGATTACAATGGCTAATGGCTTGCCAGTGCAAATGGCTTTATTGTTCATCTGAAAAGTAACTAATTATTTCAAGAGCCGCAATTAGAAGCTTTAAGGGACACGAGTTTTGATTGCTTTTATTTTTTTTCATAAGAGAGAAAGAGAGAAAGATATTTTACCACAAAGGTTAAGGGATTCTTATTAAAAAGCCTGCTTTTCGATCAGCCATGGGCTGAGAGATTAATATCCTCTCTGTCTGATATTTTCAGATGCTCTTTAAAATGATGGGTGTGCTTGGGGCAGATGGTGTGGGAGGCCTCTTTCAGAGACAGCACATTAACTATAATCCCCTGCCCCGGGGCTCACGCACCATAGTAGGAACTGCCTGACCAACCTCCACCACCACACGACTGACATTGGACTCATCAGTCTGGTTAGCCACCAGCCTGCAGCAGCCGGGGGTGCCAGGCTTCAACAGAGCATGGCAGTTCATTTCTGGACTGGTATGGCCTCCCTCACCTGTGCGTCCTGGCATTGGCGGGTTGGGGCAAACAGCTCATACACCTTCATGGATGTGGCCTTCCTTGTGCAGGAGTTCTGGACCCGCTGCTTACTCTGTTGATGGATGGATGCCACTGTGCACTCAACCATGTCCTGCACCAGAACTGCTGGTCCCTTTCTGCAGCATGTAACAGCTGCTTCCACGCTGCCAGGTCAGCTCCAACATGAATTATGTCTATCCCATGAGCGGGAGCAGCAGGCAGGGTGTACGCCAGAGCCCTGGTCTCAGCAGCAAGAGCAGGCTGTTAACATGATCCATCGCTGGTCACTGGCTCTCTGATTGCTTTCCCCATTCCAAACCCAGCGGTGCCTCTGGCCGTAACACTGGCAAGGAAGTCTTTATATTGTCACTTGGATGGGGTCTCTCCCTATAAGTGGTAGCAATGACAAAACACATCAGAAGCACCATCTGTTCCTCTTGGCATGTCAGCTGTACAATCCAGAGTACATGTCTGTAGCTTTAAGTATATTCGCACTCTTACGTTTCATTGCACTCCTGGTGCACACGTGCTGGAAGGTGTAGCACAGTCATCTGCAACAGAGCTTATTTTCACTGCAGCATTGTCCAGGACCAGGTCCCAGTGAATCCAGCCTACTACTAAGCTCTACTAGCAGGGGTAAGTTGGTAGGACTGAACTAACCCTGTCACATGTTCTCATCCCTCATCTCCTGCTCCCATCTCCATAGTGCCCAGCTCTGACAGAGGGCAAGTGTTTTGAAAGGCTGCGGAGCTGACTTCTTCAGCCCCTTCTGCACCAGAGCTAAGCACCATTTAGGGAGAAGTGGGGTGAGAAGGAAAAGGAAAAGTCTGGTCCACTTCTCCAGACCTTCCCCACAACTTGTTATGAATACTAACTCATGGGATGAAATTACCACATGGCTGTTGTTGCACTGGTTAATGAAGTCTAAATTTCATAATGATATAAATCCTCAACGAGACCCATTCGATGACAGGCAGACAAAAAGAAGAGCAGGATAATTATTATCCATCCCCATAAATTAGTGTTAACCTTTATATAGCAGCACGCATTTACGCAGCACTTTATGAGGATACATTAAGGCGCTGCAGATTCTCTACCTCATTCGCACACCTAATCGAACACACCCATCACTGCCTCTGGATCCTCAAAGCAGAACCCTAACCCTAGAACCCCACTGGACCTTTCTCTAGTTCCAGATCTGGTCCTGGATACCTGAGAAATGCATGGCTGGAGTAGGATTGGAAGTACCCCCCCTTCCTCCAATGAAAAGAAACATAAGCCCAATAATGACCTCATCTACAAGGGCAGCGTTTCTTCAGGGGCTCTGCTTAGATCGTCAAACCAGTTGGTGCCCAAATAGACCTGCATGGTTGGTCGTACCAATATGAAACTTCCCTGCTTTTTAACTAGACAAGAATACATTGAACAAATTGAAAAACCCTGTGTAACAAAGAGAGGGGCTGAATGATCCAAACAATGGTACCCAAGCTGGAGGCCACTGTTAGTCTATAAAAGGCCATGGTTTGCAGTCTATGGA